CTTAAGCCAAAGCGTTTACCTGCGGGTACAAGCGTGATTCCGTCAGATTGAAACCCATCTTGGAACTGACTTGTCTCACCATAAGCTCTGATTGACACCGGACCATGATGATTCACATCCGCAAGAGCTGACTTTACGTTCTCATAAACCGAATCAAAATCGAGACCATTAGGGATTCCACAATCCTCCATGTCCCAAAACACACCAGTCTTTACCCCTACGAAACACGCATCAACAGATTCAGATCAGATGATCAAATATCCAAAAAAACCATTTTGAAAAACTTACTTGTGAATGCGATAGGGCATATAACCATAATTTTAGGTTAAAATCATATATTTATGATTTTAACCTAAAGAGTTGTAAACCTGCGGGAAAGTGATCGAGCTTGGTTCCATCGGAGCTAAAGTAGTCCTTTGTATCACCAAGCATGGATTGAGGCAACACCGAGAAAACCGGCGAAGGGAAGTTTTCTCTATGTATATATACAACAAACTTGGTTGGTGTTTGTCTGTAAAATAACATTAGCATATACATAGAGAAAACGAAAAGCACACATTTATTAAAGAAGATATGATGATATAAGGCAAAGTTTTTATTTAGGACAAAAGCATAATAAACGAACACTAGCTTTCAACGTTTAGCGGTCCCTTGGCTCTGAAGAAGCTCTCCTTGATTGAGACTAGTTCTTTGAGAGCTTCACTCGTTGCCAACCGGTTCATAGGAGACTCTTCACAGCAACTAAGCCCCACCTCGAAAACCAATTTCAAACACTCAGCAATTGGGAAACCGACTCCGAGACCGACGTGATGAATGGATTTGTCGGCAACATCCAATACTCGCTCTTGCAAAACAGATTTGATGTAGCTGCGTAAGGTAAAGTTTCCTCCAAATAACTCATCGGTTGGTCTTTTTCCAGTGAACATTTCCAAAATGAGAACCCCAAAGCTATACACATCACCTTGTATTGATGGATGTCCTCCTATTCCATATTCTGTACCATAATAATATTCACATAAAAAAACAAAATTGATGTAATACAAAGAATACATTTCATTTAAACATTACAATATGTGTGATAGTTTTACCTGGTGCGACATAGCCGATGGTTCCTCTGACGCCGGCCGAGCTGAGTTGATCGAGGAAAGACTCTTGGTCAAATTTTAGGAGCAGCCGAGCAAGACCAAAGTCGCTGACACGGGCAGTAAGATCATCGTCTAGAAGGACATTGCTTGGTTTAAGATCGCAATGAGCTATAGGTTCATGGCAATGAACATGAAGATATTCCAAAACAGAAGCCACGTCTATGGCTATGTTAAGCCTTTCAAGAAGTGTCAAATTTCTCGACGGCCTACGAATCTCTTCCACTTCTTCTGAGTGTAGCCACATATCCAAGCTTCCATTAGGCATGAACTCATAGATGAGAGCTCTGAATTGGTTTCCTTGGAAATCTATACTCGAACAAGCCGTCAACAGTTTCACAAGATTACGATGCCTTATATCTTTCAAAGATTCACATTCTGCCATAAAGCTCTTCATCGCTCCACGTCTCCGCATGTTTAGAACTTTGACTGCAACAATATTGTTTCCCTCCGGCGGGAGAAATGCTTTAAACACAGCCCCAAAACTCCCTAATCCAATCAAATTGCTCGAAGAGAAGCCATCTGTGGCGTTTCGGAGATATCCATAGCTTATCTTTTCATGGAAGGCCCCCAAAGTGGAAAGAGTTGGA